GTAGGAGGAGGAGGAGGAGGAGGAGTAGTGGTAGTAGAAGTAGTAGAGGTCGAAATCGTATGTTGCGTAGTCGTATTACTAATGTTCGTGTTCGTATGAATACTGATATATCACCAGCATTACTAATGTGAGTGTGATGAGTGTCATGTGTTACGGTTTGTGTACTCGTATCAGTCTGCTTCCTCCTCTTCTTCATCCTCTTCCTCCTCCTCCTCCTCCTCCTCATCATCATCATCATCATCATCATACTGCTCCTCCTCTTACCACCTCTTACTCCTCTCCTCCTCATCCTCGTCCTCACTCCTCATCTCTCCTCTTCCTTCTCCTCCTACTTACTCTATCCTCCTCATCTCCTCCTCTCCTGCCCTCCTTCCTCGTCACCCACCCTCCTCCTCATCCTGGCCTCCTCCTCCTCACTCCTCCTCTCCTCCTCCTCCTCCTCCTCCTCCCCCTCCGCAACTACACGATGACAGGCGGGGTCAGGCAGGCTGGCGAGCATACGGCACGTGGACAAGCGCCACCGGTTCAGGCCTGGGGCAGGTGATACAGGCCCGCGCTGGACACGTTGAGGTGGGAGGGTTGGTCGGGGTCCTGGAAGTTTCTAGGGGTCCTTGAGGTCCCCATCCCCTCCCGTCTTTCCCCTTCCCCTCCAGTCTCGTCCCTCTGCTAGCCACCCTCCCCGCGGTCTGTGTTCTGATCGTGCCTCTGTTCGCCCCTCTCTCGCTCTCTCGTTCTCGCTCTATCTCTATATATATATATATATGTACATATGTATATAAGCTCGACCATAAGAAACCTTCCATCAAAAAGCCAACACGGAGACCCTAGGACGTCCATTGAATTTTGGTGTGGGAACGTCACGCAGTCCATAGCAAAACCATCGGAGCATAAGAAGCTCAGGGCACCCTGAAGCCAAGCAGGGTGTTTTCTGGCATGGGTGCCCACAATATCTCGCTCTGAGCAAGGATGTTTCAACGTCCAACCGTATCCCTCCTGGAGGTGCTGCACCTGCAGCCTAGAAACACACATCGGGATGTGGCTGTCATTGAGCCCGTAGCCAGCCGCGTGGACACCGAGGAGCCTCAGGAGGGGCACGGGCGGACGAAGAGGACAAACAGCATGAGAATCCGCCGACCCCTCGTAGGTCTCCAGGCATGTGAAGTTATCCCCCCATCACCAGGGACGACGAAGGAGGACATTGAGGAGGAGGAGGAGGAGGAGGAAGGAGGAGGAAGGAGGAGGAAGGAGGAGGAAGGACCGAGGCTCGAGGCCCGAGGCCCGAGGCCCGAGGCTCGAAGGCAGAGCCTCTGGACGCTGCCGGCCCCCCAGGGACCCCCCAAGCTGGCAGGCTGGCACCCCCCAGGGACCCAGGGTGACCCAGGCACGAACGGGCCAAAGGGGCACAGAGAGCCCTGCAACGGGCCTGGAGGGCCCCAAGAGGCCTTCAGGGCGGTCAACGAAGGCCGGAGTCGCCGAAAGATCGTTCGAACGAAGAAGCCAAAGATGGCCTCCAGGCAACCCATTATGCCCCCAAGCAGCCTCCAACAGGCTCTCCAAGAGGGCCTAAAACAACAACAGCAATCGCCAATTCCTTCCGGGAAAACCGGGATTTTTAGCATGTTTCCCCGTTCGGCTTTCAAGACGTCCAAGATGACCCAAACAGCTCCCAAGAGGGCTCCACGACTGGCCAAAACGGCCCCAAGACGGCCAAAGAAACCCCCAACGGCTCACGAGAGCTCCAAGACGGCTCCAAGAGAAGGCCCAGAGGGGGAACCCGAACGAACATTTCGAGCCTTCCGCCCCAAGACGCCCCAAGGGTTGCCCAAAAAGCCCCCAAGAGGCCCCAGAGGCCCACTGGGGCCCAAAGGGAACCCCAAGAGGGCCCCAAAACGCCCCCAAGACTCCCCAGGAGGCCCCAATAAGAGGCCCCAAGACTAACTCCAAGACGCCCCCAGGACCCCCACGAGACCCTATCAACCACCCGATCGGCCTCTGACCCCCTACCCGGGCGCGGTGGCGGGACGGGCCGAAGGGCATTCGATAATCACCCTTTGCGACCAGCCATAACTGGGGGAGCTGTGGTCCTTGCCCCCCTGGGGGAACCCATCGCATCGACGACCTCTCGAGAGGGATGTCGAAATCGATGGGTGCCCCAGGGGGGTAAGGACCACAGCTCACCCAGCTGTGGCTGGCCTGCCTTGTGTAGGGCGACGCAATCTATACATATCCACTGCTCCCTGGCCAGGCCCATCCTGAACACAGCAGCTGTGTATACGCCACGCCCTCCTGGTTTGGCCAGGAGGGCGTATACACAGCTCCTGGGTTCAGGATGGGCCTGGCCAGGGAGCAGTGGATCTGTATAGATTTCGTCCCCCGATTGTGGTGCTTTCACGCATGCCCGCCGTCTGTGCACGTGGCTTCTCGCCCGCCTCCCCGCGAGGGCACGGAGCGCACCGCCGGTGCCACGCCGCGGAGAGCACAGAGAGCTTCCCCGAGAGGAGCACCCCGCGGGGCTCCGACGCTGCCCGCCCTCGCCCCCCGAGGGCGCTCCGAGGGCACTGCTCGAGGCACCCCTCCTCCTCCTCCTCCTCCTCCTCCTCCTCCTCCTCCTCCTTCTCCTCCTCTTTCTCCTCCTCCTCCTCCTACTCCTCCTCCACTTCCTCCTCCTCCTCCTCCTCCTCCTCCTCCTCCTCCTCCTCCTTCTCCTCCTCCTCCTCGAGGCGCTGACCCAAAAACCATCCTGGGATGGACCGGAGCCCGCGCAGTCCTCCCGCGCATGCACGGCGAACACCGACAGCGTTGGCCGTGGAGGCTACACTTCTCCCAAGAAGCATCCCTCGTGACTCTGAGGCCCCACGAACAAGACCATGACCTTCTGCCTCCCCCTCTTTTTCTTATTATGTTTCTTCTTCTTCTTCCTGCTCCTCGTCATCTGCCTCATCCTCTCCCTCCCTATTCCCTTCCCCCTCCTCTTCGTCCTCCTCTTCCTCTGTCTCCTCCTGCTCCTCCTCATTATTCGCTTCCTCCTTCTCCGCTTTCTTTTCTCCCTCTCATCGGTTACGTCCACTTTTCTCCCCTCCTGGTCCGCCTTCCACGGAGCTCGGTACATTTGGCACAACCTGCACGCCTTGAGTGCCTTTTTTTCGTCACGCGGGACACGGCTACTGGAAACGGAGAACGCCGACTTCGGCAGCTTCGTCTTGCATTTTCCGCTACACTGATACGCCCGCCTGCCAACTGCGCGCTGTGAACCCGAGGTCCTTGCAACCTCCGCGCGCCACGCGCACCTGCTTCGTCTCTCGATGGTGTTCCGCCTGGCCCTTCTCGACATGTTCCGCGTCCGAGAAGGCTCCCCCCCACTCGCCGCGCACGCTTCGCACTCCGACCGCTTCACCGCATCGGCAACTCCCTCTGCAGTCACGCCCCACGGGATGGACTGCAGATCCTTAGGTACGTCACAGAATCGGGACGCCCGAGGGACGCCTCCGAATGCCGAAACTGATGAGCAGCGTCCGAAGATTGAAAATCCTCCGGAATCGATGATGCACCTAGCGCCCTCGTCCTCCTCCTCCTTGTCCTCGTACTCCTCGACCTTCCCTGTCCGAACGTCTATCTCAAATTTCAGACCGTCGGGACATCTGCAGACTCCAGGGCCACCAAAAACATACCAAGGATGAGAACACTCCGGGAAACAGTCCGAACGGCTGGCGGAAGGCCAGAGATCTGTCAGAAAAAACATGTTTCCTGCTCGTCCTCCTTTCCTTCCCCTCCTCCTTCTCAGCATGTTCCTTCTCCTCGTCATCGTCCACCCGGTCGCCCCATGAAAAGGCAAAGGGGCCAGCGGATGTGGCGCAAGCCCAAAGAATGTCCAGAAAGATCTAGAGAAGAGCGAAGAGGATAAGGACAAGGAGGCGGAGGCGAAAAAACGCGAGGAGAACCACGGGGCGAATGCAAAGGCGCAAAGGCGCAAGGGTCCCTCGCAGACTTGCCCAGTGCTACCAGCTGGACTGAATTCAATGTTGGCCCTACAGTAGGAGCTCGACCACAAGAAACCTTCCACAAAAAACCCAACCCTGAGACCCCAGGACGTCCATTGATTTCAGGCGTGGGAAAATCACGTTTTCCATCGTAGAACCATCGAAACCCAAGACCCCCAGGGCCCCCTAGAGGCAAGCAGGGTGTTTCTTGGCATGGGTTTCCACTGTACCCGCGCCTCGCTCTGTGCAAAATATTCGAAGTAATGCCTGGCAGCTGTCCTCGCAACTGGGAGCGTCAGGTGCCAGGCCTGCGGTGTGTGCACTCGAGAAAGCGTCGTCTGGATGCTGGTAGGAAATGCACGCGTGTTGTTACCTCCGAAGGAACTCAGAAAACTTGGCGCGCCTGTCTCAAACGGTCTGCTATCCAGTTTGTTGCAGGGTTAGACACCTGGAAGCTTCGAACCAAAGCGATAAAAAGTACGATACTTATTATAATCGGCGGGAACATGCTAGCGGAGCGACGGGTGCACGCCTGTGCGTGGCGATACATGAATTACCAGCTGCTGTATTCGTAATCCGTCTCCGCACCTCGGCCAAGACACGCGGACAGCCGCAGGAGACATGACCGTATTCACCTCATGGTCGACTACTGTGTTCGTAGAACGATGTTCAGCCAGGCGCTCCAGCATCGGATGGCTGGTGGTCATGTATGTTACCTATGGATTCGAAGACGCAGTCGCTGATCATTATATGCGCTTAGATGGCGAACTTTTGACAACGAGATGTCTACGACATGACTCTGCCGCATGGTCAATAGTGACGAAGACTTGCTTGGACATTGGCACGGTTCCCTCCCGCCACAACTGATGGCTGCATGTCTGGGATCGCATTCTGGCGGTATCCTCAGACAAGCACGCCGCCCGACGAACATCCAGACTGCGCTGACTGCCTGCTCGAGCTACAACCTGGTGGAGAAATCTTCTTCCCACATGGCAAGGCCAGCATGGCCAAGTGCAAGGCGTCCGCGAAAAAAGAGTCCGCCAGCTGTGTACAGACGAGAAAGTATGGAAGACTGTGCAGACATTGTCCTTCCCCTCCGTATTCAACGCGGTCTAGCTTGCGAACTGCACGATGGCAAACAGGCTGGGTCGAGTCAGATAAGCAGCATGTGCAGCCAGTCAAGTAGGATGATAAGGAGGATGAAGGGAACCCCAGGGACGATCACGAATAGAACGATGAAGAGGAGGGGGAGGATGAGGTGAACGAGGACGTGGGAGAGAGAAAAGATAATGATAACAACGAGGAGAAGGAGGAGCAGGAGGAAGGGAAAGGAGGGATAAAATGAGACAGAAAAGGGGAAGCGGAGCAAGAGAGAGTGGAGGGAAAACAGACTGTGTGCAGGTAAACGTTGTGTACGCACGTCGGTGCTTCAAACTGTCTAATGGTATCGCGGCAGCCGTTGACTCGTCGTCGCGTGCTTGCACATAACATCATCATACTGCTACCCAACCTACTACTCATACTACTGTTATACCACTACTGCCACTGCTGCCACAACAAATGCTATTACAATGCACTGCTCGCTGCGCACTGCGCTTTGAGGTAGTACGGTACGCCTACCAGCTCCATTGCAAGAATGCTGCTCTGACTTACGGAGCAGGAGCTGGGGAAACACGGCCGACAACGTACCTGCGACCGCCGAAGGCCGCTGCGGGCACATATGCGAGGACGACGACCGCCGCGGAGGGCATGCGTAGTTACAAGGCGGCCCTTGGCGAACCCCCTCCCCCCGCTGACAACCAGCGAGGAGCATGAACCAGCCAAAGGCACACGGGCACAAGCGCTGCTAGTTTGGGGGGGCAGTCCGGGTCCTCAGCACACCTCCTCCTCCTCCTCCTCCTCCTCCTCCTCCTCCTCCTCCTTCCTCCTCCTCCTCCTCCTCCTCCTCCTCCTCCTCTTCCTCCTCCTCCTCCTCCCTCCTCTTTCCCTTTTTGTGACCGCTAGAACACAGATCATAGCGCCTCTTGTTACACTACAACTGTCCTGTCCCCAAGGGGTTTGGGAAGGACCCAAGATTCTCACTCCCCTGGGAGGGACGTCGGAACACATGTACCGTCAACATTCCCGCTGCCAGCCTGAGCCCTGTCCGGAACTCCAGCTCCACCCGGGCGAGAGGAAGAGGAGGAGGAGGACGAGGAGGAGGAGGAGGGCGACGACGACGTTCAAGACGACGAGGTGCATGTGGAGGAAGAGCAGGAAGAAGCGGAGGGGAAGGGAATCAGAAGGTCGAGGCAAGAGGGGCGAGAGAGCTGGAAGGTGGCGAGGAGGTGGCAGCGTGCTCACGAGAATGCCCCAGCCCGAGTCACCAGCGGCGGCAGCGTGCTGGCGGCGAGGCAGGTGGCCACCTCGGCGGGGCCGGTCGCGCTCGCGCCCGAGACGCTCGGGGGGGAGGGTGAAGGGGCCCTGGGACACACAAATAGACACAACTGCAGGATTCCCCATATTTCCTTCTATTTCCGGGGTTCGCGTCTTCCCCGCCGCACTTCCCCGATGCTCCCAATAGTTCCCTGGGAGTCGACGTTTGATTGTGTCTGTGTGCTGTCGCTCCCTCCTGAGGGGGGTCGGGCAGGCAGTGGAGTCTGCTCGCTGGGGCCTCTGCCTCTGCTGGGCATCCAGCAGCGGGGGCTCCCTCCTGCCTCTCCTGAGGGCGAGCGGCCGCGGGAGACTGGCTCCAGGGAGGGGGGGGGGGGGGGGGGGCGAACATCGGGCCTGACAGCGGCGATGCATCGTCGATAGCTCTGAGAGAAGCACCCGACAGCGAATTCCCACGCGCCTGGGCCATCGGGCCCTTCTCGGCGATCACTGGGCGACTGACAGCGGCGATGCATCGTCGATAGCTCTGAGAGAAGCACCCGACAGCGAATTCCCACGCGCCTGGGCCATCGGGCCCTTCTCGGCGATCACTGGGCGACTGGGGGTCGACGCATTCCCTTCTGAGCCTGTCCCCTCCTGATTCACGTTGCCCTTGGTCCGCCTCCCTCATCGAGAAGGCTCCTTCCGCCTCACTCATCCTCATCTCTCATCCTCTCTGCTCCAATTGAGGAGGCGGGCAAGTCTGCCCAAGCGCACATCGATCCTGTCGATTGCACGATAATCGAGTCGGTCGGTCATCGAGGAAGGAGGGGTGGTCAAACCCACTGGAGCCACACGCAGACGTATGCGCGCGTGGCCAAAATCTCCACTGACTCACCACACGGTGTGATTTGGGGTCCACGAAAGGTTTGCAAGTGGCATCCGGTCCCTGGAGCCGCCGGGGCTTCTTCCACAAACCAGCCTCTCAATCTGAACCGTTTCTGGACAGCCCTGGGGCATCAGGGCATGTCCCTGGGTGGCCCGATATGGGCGAAGAACTTCCAGGACCCCTCCTCATCTCCAGGACCCCCGCCGTTCACGGCGACCCACACATGTGCTGACCTCTTCCTGCGCAGCTCGGGGCCATGCGCAGCCAGCAGAATGTGACACTTCGAAGGCGAAATGCGTGAACCACTGATTGGGCGCCCGAGTTATCCGGGGTAACTCGGGTCCAGGGTAACTCGGGTTTGGATTTCCGACAAACGAACCCGAGTTAGCCCTGACCCGAGCTGCCCCTGATGAATTGGGGCTCTGGGCGCCCGAATTATCCGGGGTAACTCGGGCCCAGGGTAACTCGGGCTCGGAATCCCGAACAACGAACCGGGGTTAGCCCTGACCCGGGTTACCCCCGATGATTCGGGGCTCTGAACTGAGGTCGGAGGTTGGGGGGCGAGATCGCAGTGGAAAGGAGGCCCCCACCAGGAGATCGGTTTCGGTGTCGTGTCCGCGTCGCGCGCGCGGGCGAGGCGAAGCTGCGTGGGCGCGTGGGGAGGACGGACCCCGCCGTCGCTATAGAGCGATTCGGATGCAGCGGGCCGCGCCCCTTCGCCCCCGGTGGGCGCGCGGTGGCCCTGGGTGTCGCGTCGGTGTTCGAGGAGGAGGAGGAGGAAAAGGAGGAGGAGGGGGAGGAGGAGGAGGAGGAGGAGGAGGAGGAGGAGGAGAAGGAGGTCGACGACGCCGCCGCGTGGTGCGGTGGGCGGGCGGTGGCCAGGGGTGTCCCGTCCACAGTGAAGACGACAGCGAGATCGATAGTGAGATCGCTGGAATGGGATGGACAGTGAGGTCAAGAGCGAGATCGACAGCGAGGCTGATTGTGAGATTTTGGCTGTGAGATCGGTCGTGAGATCGGTAGGGAGATCGCTGGTGGCATCGATCGCTGAATCCGTTGGTGCTAAGACTGGCCGCGAGGTCGATAGTGGGATCGCCCGAGTGAGATCGATAACGGGGACGCTAGTGACATTACATCGCAGCGCAACATCGTCATCACGCGTCGTCGATAACTGCATCGTAATAGCATTTGCACGCAATTGGTTTTTCCCCCATCCACCCCACCAAACCTCCTTCCTGAAGAGTGGTCGTATAGGTGATGTTTATGGATTGTCAAGGCGATGCAGAAACCGCGATCGACCCGCCAACGGGGACGGGCCACCAGGTCGACCGGCGCTCGGCAGCGGCCCGAGGGCCCCCCGAGGCCACGGCCGCGTGGCGCTTCTGCGTCACGTTCACGCGGCGGTGCCAGCGGCGCCAGATCTGGCGGCGGTAGCATGGGAAGGATGAAGCGGCTCAGGATAAGGTAGCGGGGGGGGAGGATGAGGATGAGGATGTGGATGAGGATGATGAACAGGATAACGATGAGGACGAGGACGAAGATGAGGATAAGGATGCGCATGAAAGGGTGGAAGAGGAAGACCAGTGTAAAACCCAAGGCTCATCAACGATATTGCAACAAAACCTCCCTTCAAATTCCCTGTTCATAAATCTCTACACGGATTCACACTTCCACTGGGAGAATTACCCCACTCATGACAACCGTTCGAAAGTTCTGAAATGTGCCAGAATGACACTACTGGGTCATCAACGACGCGAATCACCGTCAATGTTGCGTCTTGACGATTTTGAATCGTACCAGAACGCCGTTCCTGGGATTTCAACAACGCGAATGGACGTGGTTGCTGCGCTTTGGCATTCCGACATCGTGCCAAACACACAATTTTCTGGGACGTTACCAATAAAAGTCCTCGAAACGGCTGCAAGCTCTTAGGACAAATGTGCGCGGCGCTCACCCGAAAACCACATGTTGGAGACGGGTCACCCTCAATCCGCGAAGTCCTTGCAAGTTTTGGAACGACGAACGCGTGCGGCGCTAAAGCGAAACCGCATTTTGACAACTGGTCGCCTTCCTCTGTTGAACTCCTGCATGTGCTCAAAACGAATGTGCGCGATGTTCAAAACAGAACCGCATTTTGAAAATGGGTCGCCTTCCATCGGTGAAATCTCTTGCAAACGTTGAAAACGATTGTGCGCGGCGCTGAAGCGAGAGCCACACACTGAAAACCTTTTGCCCTCCACCCGTGAACATCGTTCACTAACCACACTTGCAAAAGCGGGCAGTCCCCCATCCGTGAAGCTCTCGCAAATTCCAAGTTTCAGGATCAGAAGCAGCGAGGTAACCTCGAGCGAAACGCCTGGCCGACTGGCCTCGGGGTGCGACAGGGAGGGGGCTGCCCAGTAGGAGAAGGGGCGGAAGCGGAGGGGGGAACGAGGAGGAACTGGAATTGCGGGGCTTGGAGTCTGCATGAGGGAGAAAGCATGGCGGCTAGAAGATGATGATTCCAATGTTTAACTTTGCCGCGCGCTGGACAGGCACGCGCCGGCGCTGGAGCCAAACGGTGGCAGAGCATCCCACGCGAGTCGGTATTGCGCGGGCGATCGAACAGCTCTGGCGGGGAAGAGAAAGAAAGGACCAAGGGAACCAGAACTGTCCAACCCCAGCGAGTTCGAAACTCAGCAGGGCTGCCCCGTCGCTGTCTGGCCCAGGGGCGCGCGACGCGGCGGGGCGCGGGCTCGCCCCCTTGAACGGGTAGCTCGCTCGTGCTCGGAGGAGCGGCACTAGAAGAGCTCGCGCGCGTGAGTAACGGTGGCGCGAAATCCCCTAGGCCGCACACGCTGGGCCGGTGACCTCGGGCCGAAGACGCGATGTCTGAAGGCCCATCCTAATGCTCAGGCGCAGCGATGGCCGCGAGGCCACGTGGAGGGTGCGAGGCGGAAGTGCGCATACGTCTTGACCTGGTAGGTGGGCGAGGTCGATGGGCGGAGATAGACCGCGAGGGGCACGCGCACTTTTGGCGCGATCGCCTCGAGGCTGACCGAAATCGCAAGTTGCGGGGGCCGCCCCGTCCTCGACCGAAGCGCCCGGGCTTGACCTCCCCCCCTGCCCTGCGCGTGTTCTTCTTGGGCGGGTCGGCGTCGGCCCATGGCGCGGGCTCGCTCTCGCTCTTGCCCCTGCTCCCGTCATTGCCCCCGGCCTTTGTTCGACGCGATGGCGGCGCGCCCGCGAGAGCCGCCCCGCCCTCGCCCAGAACGGGCGCGGCGTCGAAGGTCAGGGCAGCGTCTGTCTCCAGCTCGAGCCGCGAGCGGCGCTGTCCTCGCAGAACTCCCCCAGCGCCCCTGGGGCAGGGATGGGGGCCTTGGCGGAGCGAGAAGTGCCGGCGAGGAGGGCCGCGCGGCGCGCGCTCGCCCCGAGGCGTCGGGGGGCGCGACGGCCGCGGCGTCGGCGGCAATGGCCCCTTGGAGCCTAGCGGGCCGTTCGTTGAGGAGGGCGCGCCTAGGGCTGACCCGTCGAAGGCCAAGAGCGGGTCTTGCCCGCGCCCTGGCCACGAGCCGACGTTGGCGCGCGCCCAGCAGCGGCGGCACTCGGCCCTCTGTTGCGCTGTCCACGAGGCCCACGCGGCGCGTGGTTTGGCGGCGCACAAGTCCACGCCAATGCGGAGCGGCTCGCTGTCGCGCAACGGCCGCGGGTCGCTCAGCCAGCCCGCGGCCCCGAGCGCAACTCTGGCTCCATGACGTGCAATGCGCGCAGGCCCTTGCGCATCGGCGCCTCAGGGATCGGGTCGCTGACGCGCCGCTTCTTGATGAACTCCACCTATTCGGCGTCGCTCTTACTGAATGCACGGGGCCGCGACTCTTCCAGGGGCGCCGACGGGCGGCGGTGGGCGCTTGGCAAAATGGGCACGGAGGCTTCGCTCGCAGGCAGCACCCGCACGCTGGGCGCGGCAGCTGTCCGGCGCCTGCGGGGGGGCGGCGGGCGAGAGCGGGGCCATGGGGCACCCTGGGCCCGAACGTGACCTCGAGGGGCAGATAGGGTTGAGGTGATGCGCTGGCTGCGTTCTTCCTCCTTGGACCGCTGCAACTGACGTTGCAACTGGCACGCTTGCCCCTGACTCGGCGGCAGGGGGCATCGTCCGAGGCGCGCCAGGAGAGCGAATCATGACCGGCCTTGCCTTGGGGCTGCTAAACGCTGGCCAAGTGTCAGGAGGGGGCGACGGAGATCGAGCGCGCGGTTAAGATCGAACTGCGGACTTTGCGAGCGCCGCGTCATCCGGCGTCGGCACTTCTTCCGCGGGCGACATCGACGCAGAGGGCATGGTCTGCGAGCGACGAGGCAGCGGAGGCCCAGGAGACCCCTGCGGCTCACTGCGAGCGAGGCATGCTGGCACGCGCGCGCAGCAGCGGGCGGCTGCCAGCGCTCGGCGACACGCGCTGGGCGCCCGCGCGCGCGCCCGCCGTCGCGCGAGCCACGCGCGGCGGCCCAGCGCGCCCCAGCCGATCAAGCCTGGTTCGACAGGCGCAGCATAAACGTTCATCCCTGATCCTCACGGCCACGCCCCTCCCCCGTGCGCCCGCGCACATGCGCGCCCCCTTGCATGCCTCAACGATGGCTGAACATTGCGATGGCGAGAGTCCTGTCGCACGCACTGAACTGCCGCGACGCGCCATTCGACCAGGATGAAGACGAGGAAGGACGGGTGGTTTCGAGGAAGATGGAACACTGTCCACACACGCTGATCGCGGATGTCAGACGTCGGCTGTCGCCCATGGCCCGATAGCACAGCGAGCTGCGAGCTTGCCGGCCGGCGAGAGGGCGACTGTCCACGGCGCGCGCGGCCGCCGGCCAAGTCGTGGAGCGCTGATCCATCGATGATGCCTCTGGTCAGCCCGCCCGCGATCGCGTCTCGAAATCTCCCCTGCTCAGGGCCCAGATGGCCCGAGCTCAGAGGAGGTCGCGGAGCCAAAGCATGCGCGGAAGCAGCGAGTGCTCTGCAATTGGCTCGGGCCTCGCAGCTGCGACGGCGGCGAAAGACCCCGCGGGGCCCAGGCAGACCCACTTTGACGCGCGTGCGGCTGCTGACCATCTCGCTGGCGAAGTGACGCCCCATGGCCCCGGAGCCCCTCGAGCACCTCGCGGAGCGTGGCCTCTAGAGCGAGGGCGTAGTCCGACGACCTGATCGCAGCCATCGGCTCACCTGCGAAGGCGCTTCGCATCGCAGTTTCAACCGCCCCGCGCCGCCAATCCAAGAGGCGGCGCATTCGTAGGCCAACGCATGCCCGTCGGGCGCCCGTGCCACTGGCGCTCATGCGCAGGAAAATGGCTCCTCGCAGGGCCCGCCCCGCGTCGGCGCCCTCCTTCTGCTCGTTTGCGAATGCTGCGTCGCTTTGAATTCCTAAATTAAATTTGTGCAAGGTAAAGGTGGGTCCTGGGTTCGCAGTTCCTTGGCCCGCCCCCAATTCGCGAGCGCGTTGGGCCCCCGAATCTGGCCGCGCGTCGGCGCCGCGGCGCGGCGCTGAAGCGCTGCCTTGTAAACGCGCGGGTCGATTCGCGCGATGGTCGCAACAGACAGCATCGCCCGGGCGACGCCAACGCAAGACCCATGGGGGCTCATCTGGAAAGACAGAACTTCTGGGGCGCGCCCAGGAACCCAGGGCGTCCGGTCTCCGCGGAAGACAAGACATAATCCCTGGCGAAGGGTTCGAGCGCGGGGACTGCCCCCCCTGAAATCCCGGAAGATGAATGAACTCTCAGCCGCGGGGGCGCCCGCGCGCGGGAGCCCGCCCCCCCCCCCCCGGCGCAGCGGGGGGAACAGCGAACGAGCCCAGATTGTTAATGGCGGTACTAAGGAGTTGCACTAGGAAGTTGTTCTAGGAACTTGCACTAGGGAGTTGCACTAGTACTACTTGTGCGAGGAAATGGTATTCAGGAACTGCATCAGGGAATTGAACTAGGGAGTTGCACGAGTACGAGGGAGTTGCACTAAGGAGTTGCACAAGGGTGTTGCACTAGGAGGTTTGACGAGGGGGCGCGCTGCACTACAGATTGGAATAGAATGTCAACTGCACTCGAATACTTGCACTGCAGGACCAGGTGCACTCTAGGAGCGGCTGCGCGTCAGTACATGATGATACCTGTTGTAATACATTACGAGTTGCATTCTAGTCGGCGGGGCTCAGGAGTTCCAATGGCAACGCGCGCGCGGGGGAAAGCAATAAATCCACGCGCCGCTTGGGGCCCCGGGTTTAACGGGCCGCCGCGATGGCTGATCACCCGCGGAAAGAAGACGAATAAATCGGGCCCAGGGTTTGAGGGGAGCTGTGAGTCGATGGACTGATAAGGTAATGCCCTTAGCAGGCCGAAGTACAACTAGACAAAACTCTTCGAGGCTAGCTCGGAGTTGGACTTGCCAAATGAGCTCGGCGC